GTTTTGAAAGAGTTTTGAATATTGTAACAAAGCAGCAGAAAGTGGACATTCACAGGCACAGTTTGATGTTGGATTGAATTATTTGGAAGGAGAAGGAGTGGAGAGAAATGTGGAATGTGCCATGACTTGGTTTACCAAATCTGCCAATCAGAATAATTTATTTGCCATGAAGAAATTGGCTCAATTGTATGATATTGGTGATGTAATTCCAAGAAATGTAAATGAAGCATTCAAATGGTGTTTAAATGCTGCAGAATTAGGTGATTCTGGTAGTCAATATGATGTTGCTGCCATGTATGAATTTGGAGATGGTACTGAAAGAGATTTATCCAAAGCTTTTGAATGGTATTCCAAGTCAGCTCATCAAAAGAATCCCCAAGGTGAATTCCAAGTTGGATTAATGTATTGCTTGGGTAAACATGTGGAAAAGGATCTCAGTAAAGGTTTGGAGTTTGCATTGAGAGCTGCTGAACAAGGATTGTCAAAAGCTCAATACGTTGTGGCTGACATGTATCCTAAGAGTGGAGTACTTGGGTAATAGACAGTGTTATAGTTGGTTTTTAGTTGGCTATGTTCCGTCTAAACCCCATCCACAACCCTACTACCACCGACTACAACCCTAATTTCCCCCAACTTGTTTCCGAAAATAACTGAACGATTTTCCAGAAATTAATCGAATATCAGCCCATAATCGCCTGACCGTTTTAGTTCAGTGTTAGTTGGTTGGTAGTCGGTTGATTGTTGGGTAAAGGAATGAAATTGGTGGGTAACTATTCAATAAATATTCAGTAACCATTCGGTTATTATATGGTAAACATTCAGTGACTATTCGGTGAACATTCAGTTTCTATGCGGCTTTTAGTGTGTTGGTATTTGACTGAAAGTTTCCCTTAATTTACTCTGTTGACCATTACAATTTTCATAATTTGAGTAAAACTGATTTATTTATTTACAATTGTTGTGCTTCTTCTGAGTCTGATTGACCATTATCTGAATAAAGATCTGCACCATCTGATTCCATATCAAGCAAATTAATTGCGTCTGCTGAAGGTTGTGTTGCTCTTGTGTCAGGTTTTTTGATCCAATCTTTAACAAGTGTTAAAAAAACAACTTCATCTTCTGCAACATAG